TTTAATTAATGTTTAAGCCCCAACTATTTTGTAATTGTGCTCCAGATTGAGACACTGGAATATTTGATATAATTATTTATAGACAGTAGAAACCAATGGAACAGGATTGAGCAGTTTGCAGACACTAGAATATCGGTGGGTTCTCATTACAGTGCCCCAGGTGGGTCTGTTTATCAAATGAACATTTATTGTTTTTTAATACTAGGCATTATGGAGTATTTTTATTAGTTATAATTTTTATGAAGTTAAATGCATAGATCTTAAGCTTACAGGTAGATGAATTTTGACAATTCTGTACACACTTATAACTAATACTTCTATCAATATATAGATCATTTCCATCATCACGAAAAGTTTCTTTTTTTTGTATGTCGGTTTTTATTTTTTACTTTTTATACTTTTTTTGACATTTATTATTGAGAACTAGTTACTTTGCTTGATACTACATGTGTGTATATATGTATATATGTATATATGTGCACACACACACATATATATATGTATATATATATGTGCACACACAGGCTCATTCACATACACCACTGAACCAGACAAAGTCCATGCTTTCAGGAGGCTTATGTCTGGTGGGGTTTTTAAACAATAAACAATAAGCAAATGAGATAATTAGAATGTGATAGTGAGACCAAAAAAAGATTATATGATACACAATAAATGAGAATAGCCAACTTTATGTAAGATTGTTGAAAAAGACCTGTCTTAAAAAGGAACATTTAAAGGGATGGCCGAAGTTAAGAATGAACCAGCCATTCAAACAGGAGAGAAGAGCCTTGCAGCCAGAGAAACTAGCAAAGGCAGAAACCTTGAGACAGGAAGAACCATCACTTCCTGTTAACTGGACTATAAATATTTCCCTACCCTTACTCATAGAAGTATTGTGACATCAGTAAATTTAAATACGAAATTACCTGATTTACCTGATCTGGGGTGGATATGTATAATTGGAAATGACCAAGAAGTAGAGATCTTTTCTCAACTTTGAGAAAGAAAGGAAAATTACTCAGGGATAAAAGAAAGTAATACATTTAGTGATCTGTACCTTGCTTTCTGTAATCAAATGTTGCATTGTGTGATACCACTGTAGGAATTCGTAGAAAGAAAAGATCATGGCCCGGGACCTAAAGAATGGGTGAATTTGTATGGGCCAACAGGAGGGAGAAGGGGGTGTTTCAAGATGAGAGAACTGTGTAAACACTCGTATACTAAGGTGGAAGGTGGCACAACCAATAGAAACAAAGGATGTGGAGTTAACTAACCTTATTGTGTAATCACCTCACACTACATGCATGTATTAAATCATCACATTGTACACAATGTTACATGTCAATTATATCTCAGTAAAGCTGGGGGCATAGATTTTTATAAAAGAGATACTCAAGTGAACTGAACTAGAGTGAGTGCTTGAGACTATGAAGTCTCGAGCTGGAGTCGAACTGGTCTTTGAGAGAACAGAATATAATAGATTGGTCTGATTCATAGAGGTCATGGAAGGTCAGTGGATCAGTTTTGACCTGATATGTTAAACAATAGGAGGAATTACTGGTTTCTCGAACAGGAGTATTGTATGGTAGAAAGAGGCAATGGGATACTGGGTTGGAGGACCTTCTTTTTGGCCATGCCATTTCATTGTACCCAGTGATAAAAGTATGGACTGTGCTCTATCACAGAAAAGGAATGAGCTTTGTATGAGACATGTCAGGGAGATTGACATTGATAATGACTGAAGAGCAATATATCTAAAGTCAAAATGCGTGCTCTCTGGATGGGACTCTCAGTGATGGGACCTTTTAGTCTGCCTGGGACCTTAAATGACTGATTTCATCTTGGGCATGTTAAGTGCCAATAGCCAGACAAGACACCCAGATTGTGGTGTGAGCACACAAGTAAAAGTACATAACTAAAGCTGAAATGGGAAGTTGAACTTGGGAATGGGAACAGCTGATGAGAACTAAGGGCTTAGCTCATGATGAAGAGCGTGTGTCAAGCAATGGGGGAGGGTGCACACACACAGACCCTGAGCAGAAAATACCAAATCAGCAGCTGGGTAAAAGCCAAGACAAGAAATAATTTCAAGCTGTTAAATAAGGGAAGTTCTTGGGGAAACACCATAATCATTATCAGCATAAAAATACAACTAACCTTTTAGTATGGTTGCTATGTACCTTAAGGTCTTTAAATATAATAATGCATTCATTTCTTTCCACAACCTTTAAAAGAATAAATGCTATTGCTATCCCCATTTTAAAATGAGGAAATTTAGGCACAGAAGATTAAGCAATTTTCTTCCCAAGATTACCCAATTTGAAGAATGTTTTTAAAGCCTCAGCCCTTAACTTGCATGCCATATGATTATAGTATCAGTGATGGTGTTTTAACTCCATAGTTTAACTTTTACCTCATATAAGTTTCTTGAAAAGGAGTTAATTAACAGTTTAAAACATTGAGTTGAAACTAAAAACTCAGGAGATGGCTGAGCAGTAATTGCATAATCCCTAACAGGAGAAAAGAACTCGGAATTTTCTAGGTTAAAGACAGAGAAAGGGGAGGAAGAATGTACCTTTTGGTTTTTTTTTTCTTCCTACCTTTCCATACACTGTGAGTTGTTGAAACAGGAAATTGCCCACTTTAAAGAGAAGTTGTTTTTTAATAAGTACAATTTTAATCATTTCTCCCACCCCCACCCCACCCCCCCCCCCCCCCCAAATTCTTAAAAGAGGAGTTGTTTTTTAGCTTTTTCTACATACTGCAAATCCCTGAACTCCTGGAATATTAATTTATTGAAATTGAATGTAAATCAGACTTTTACATTAAAACACACGGCTTTCTTAATTTTCATTACTAAATAAGAGTGGGATTCCAAAAGAATGGGGTTTCTGAAATAGTGTCAACATTGGTATTACTGGACTGTCTTCAGTGTGGAACCCCAAGTAGCCAGATCTGTCTGTGGGGAGACTCAGGTTTTAGAGCAGGAGTTGTGACTGGAACCCTTTCCTCTGAAGAAGCCACACGCCACTGCTTTGACAGCACTTTGACGAATGCTGTCTCTTTGGCTGGGAGAGGACTTTGCTCTCTTCTCCAGGTTTTTCAGGGCTTCCCCAGCTTTTCTCCCATCTCCCTTGCCTGAGGAAGAGGCGGGGGAAAGTGTTAGTTCCCAGCCCCCCATGCTCAGGCACACAGTGTGGCCAGCAGAAGGGACAAGACACCTGCCTACTGCCCTCACTGTAGCAGCGGAAGCTGTGGCAGGCCTTCCTTCAGTGAGTAAATAACTCAGTGCTTTCCTTTGGACTGGAACTGTGGATGGAAGTCAACTAATTTATCTTCTGAAAGCACAATTTTTCTCAAGTGAATTGGCTGCTCAAAAACGTTCAATATTTTTCCACTTCAACAGAATAAAATTCTTATCCCTACATGCATGACCCCCCACAATTTAGGCCAACGCTGCCTGATTATGCCAGCCCTTATTCAGCAGTATTCCCCTTTTTGGTCAGGCAAGCTGGCCAGTTCCACTTCTTCAGACTCCGCTTGCCTCTGCCTGTGGTTAGACTGATACCTTCAGGGATGCCCCCTCCACTTCCCACCCTTCACTGCGGTCTCCAGCGTCACTAGCCCCCAGCACATGCTGCACACAGCCCCTCCCCCATTGCCATCTCCACCCACAGCCTTACCAAACTGCCGTGAACTCCTGAACCATCTTATCTCCAGCTCTCGTTTTATCTGTGCCCTAGGTATTTATGGGCATATATCATCTTCTTTGCTAAATTCTGGGCAGAACCAGTACTTAAACTTTGTATCTTTCAAATCACCTATACTTAACACCAGGGGGAATGAAAATTATAAATGACTAAGAGGACATACCAGGGCCCTGGCTGGTGTGGCTCAGTGCACTGAGTGCTGGCCTGAGAATCAAATGGTCATGGGTTCAATTCCCAGTCAGGGCACATGCCTGGGTTGCTGGCCAGTTCCCAGTGGGGGACCCACGAGAGGCAACCATACATTGATACTTCTCTCCCTCTCTCCTTCCCTTCCCCTCTAAAGAGAAATAAATAAAAAATCTAGAAAAAAAAGAGGACATATCAGTTATTTATGTAATAATGTGTTTTTGAAATTTCTTTTTTGTGGGTGTTACCTTTATTTTATTATTTCATTAAATGTATTGGGGTGATATTGGCTAATATGATTCTATAGATTTCAAGCGCACATTTCTGTGGTACATGACCATTGCACAGGTGCCCACCACCCATAGTCAGACCATCTCCCATCACCATGTATTTGGTCCCCTGCACCCTTTACTACCACCCCATTCCCTCCGGTCTCCTTTCACTGCACCGGAGTAAATAAGTGAAGAGAGAGTGGGACCAGATCTCCTGGTTTTCAGTGCAAGACTTACCACCAACAGTAGTGATTCTTCCCCGGCTTACACATTTGATTCACCTGACATCACCTGTGCTGCTTTAAAATATTCTGATCTGGGCCCTGCCTGGTGTAGCTCCGCAGATTGAACACTGGCCTGCAAGCCAAAGGGTCACCGGTTGGCTTCCTAGTCAGGGTACATGCCTGGGTTGCAGGCCAGGACCCCAGCAGAGGGTGCGCGAGAGGCAACCCCACATTGATGTTTCATTCTCTCTTTCTCTTTCCCTTCCTCTTTCTCTAAAAATAAATAAAATCTGTAAGAAAAAAAAATATTCTGATCTGGAAATTAGAATCTCAGGAGTGTAACCAAGACATCAGTATTATTTAAAATCTCCCACGGGATGCTAATGTGCAACCAAAATCGGAATAAATACCCTGTACCCCATGGCCCTTGGGCCGCTCTTGCTTTCCTAGGTAATTCTGTTAATTTGGAAATTCTTGTAACTCGAGAAAGTCTAATTTTTTTCATACGTGGAGCATTTTAAAGTAGAAAAGTGCTAAATGTGAGATGGTAGTATAGTACATTTTGTTTTGCTTACAACAGTAGCTTACTTCACTGTTTAACTTTTCAGATATTTCGAAAGAAAGCAGTGGAACTTGGGGTAAAATTGCTACCTGCATTTCATACTCCCTCTGGAATACCTTGGGCATTGCTGAATATAAAAAGGTAAAACTCTTCATTTTTGACAAAATATTTTAAGTTGAAATAGACACAGATTGGATAATTAGTTGTGTGATGTCGGCCACTTACACCACTCGGACTCTCAGCATCTGTCCTTGTGTCGAAAGGTGTTGGTTTTGCAGTTGTCCTGTGGCCTTAGATGGGCTCCTGTCCTGGGACAGCACGACCCCAAGAGAGTGACCGAAGCCAGGTGTCGTTCAAGAGGTTTGCACCATCATGGTGCACTGCTGCAGTGAAAATGTCTCTGTAGATTCCACAGTATCCCATTATGTTTAAAATTGTCATGAGAACACTTCAGAAACCGAACACACGAACTAATCAGATCTCCCACGCCTGAGACCTGAGTGCGTGAGGCTGCCCCGCCCACCCTCACAGGAAGGAGGGGGCCTGCTCACTGACCAGATCACACCGACCTGCTTGTCTGATCTGGGTGGAGAACCTGGTATGACAAGTCCATGGGAATGTGGCCTCAAGAAACACCTGGGCTGAAGACTTTCTGGAATCGTCCTAGGGAATTGTTTGAATTTTCATGATAACTTGAGCCTTTTGTTAATAAACACTTTTATCTTAAGCTTCCTTCTTACCTCTTTCTTCCCCATAAGTAATTAAGTGTATATGTGCCTTCTGGTAAAGATGATGATAGCTATTTGTAAAATTGTAAAATATGAAGGTTTGTTAGAGACACTTTACACATATTACCACATTTTATCCTTATAACAATCCCAAAATGTCAGCACTGTTGTTATCTCTATTTTAATGATAAGGAACTTGAGTCACAGACAGATTAAGTCATTTGCCTGGCGTCATCCTGTATATAAATACGTAGAGCTGGAATATGTATTCTGATGTTTACATACACCATTGATGCCCAGGCATAAATTAAACCACTATCTTGTTTTATAAATGTCAAGATGCGCAGGTGGTTTGGCAGGATTATCAGTTAAATGTCATGCATCGTTTTGATCCGTATGTTATATGTGGATACCTTGAAATCATCCTGTACCTGTCTATAGTTGTGGGGGGGGCGGTGGCTGGTCGGACAGGGGCAGTGGCACGGAGGCAGTGAAGTGGGGAGAGTCCCCTCAACCTGTCCGTGTTAGTTGAGGTAGTTCTCTACTCCATAATGTGATGTCTCTGGATCTGCTTTTCCTTGGAAGGGTCCTAAGGCTTTGGCTGTGCTCTTGGAGACCAGAGCATATGCTGCTGCAGGGTCTTAAGGCAGGAGTGGGTGTGAGCTTGGCTTAGAGGCAGCATGGCATTTGAGGTTTGTTTTACTTTTATTACCTTCCTCATCTTCAGACTTTGTATTTAGAGACAGTATTCTGACCTAGAAACTACTCTGTTACCTGAAATGAGATCTGGTTACAGAAACACCATGCACATTTAACACAACTTTTCCCTGCCTGCGCTCCGAGAAATATGATGTGGGCAGAATAGTACAGTGAGGTAATTGGTTATGGAGAGACCTAGTTCTAGGTATTCTAGAGGTACTGTAGGTTTGTCCTTAGAGCAATTATTTCAGCTCTCCAGGCTTATCTGTAAACTGGTCATTAGGCTACTTTAATTGTTATTTTGTGAAAATGTTTAGTTTCACTGGCCACTTGGAAATTCTAATGAAACATGACCCCTCTCCTCATTAATTGCATGTTCCTAAGTATACATATTTTTGTTTTCTAAAAGCTGACAAATTTAAAATAATAGAATGAGTGATCACTTTGTCTACCCTAAGATTCCATGGAACTAGTTCTCATTGCTTCCTGGAAAGAAAGGAAATTATGTGAAGACCTACTAAAACTAAACTAATAGAGAGACGTGTGGGCCTACATCTTTGCAAACATTTAGTCAGTTATTGTAAGGTGCTAATAGCATTTAATTAGTTCTAGCCTCTCTTGAAAAAAACAAAAGAAATTGGGTTATTTTAAAACATACTTCACTTTATTTAGTGTTTATTTCTAACAGCCAAGAGGATTTTTCCTTAGTTAAATCTGTCCTTAGTGTACAGTGGAGATATTTTTTGGTATATAAAGGACTACTTCTAAAAACTATTAAATACTGAATCCTCTTTTATTTTTCATATCTATGCCCCTTGAAATTTCATTAACAGGGACATTCAAGTTTTTATTAACACCTTGTTTTGCATTTATAGTATTTTACATACATGTCATATAATTTCTAAGATTATAGGAAAACTACATGCGGTGAAAAATAATGTTCCATTTTGTTTATGTGTTCTCTAATGTTTTCAAGTTAAACTAGAGGAAATTAAGTGACTATTTGACAGCTGACGGGAAGACTTTTAATTTCCTCTGTGGCAAGAAAACATTTCATATTTATCTGCAACAATTACATTTCAGGGTACACTGCTAATGTCAGCCTGGACGTACATGCTGTTTCATCGAAACCTGTTTGGGCCAGGGACTAAGGACAGCCACCATGGGAGCTGCCATGGGGCTTCTCTTCTAGGTTTAAAGACAGTTTTAAAGGCTGTCATGAGTAGAAGTTTTAAAGAAAAGAGGAAAAAACATGTCTGGCACAATCATATTTTCTTAATTACCTTCTCGGAATAAGGGAATGTCCATAGAAGGAATGCCCAAAGAGCAAAAAGGACTTGAAGATGCTTTCTGAAATAGCTGTGTGTTCACTGTTGACTGGCTTTGAAACTCTTGGTGATACTTAGGGTCAGAGAGGCACTGCTGTGTCATCTACAATATAGTTCCACTCTCGCCTCCCAGTTTCAAAATTGTTAATGGATGCTACTCTTTGCCAACAACTATCTATTAACAAAAATGTGAACTTCTTGGTATTATTTGTTCACATCTTTCTAGCATTCAGGTTATTATTGAAAGATAATTGGTTTCTTTACCTTTTCTTTGTAAAAATAAATATTTATTTGAGTCTCTGCTCTGATGAAGGTTTTATGCTAGTTCCTGGGAAGACTGTTCTCTTCTTTGCACTTTATTTAAAAAGAAAACAGACATGGGCTTTTCTTCAGAGTATCTACAGCCTGGTTGGTAAAGCATGATATATATATTTTATGTTATATTATCCACTCACTCATGTAATTGACAAATGTAAGAGAGTCTGTGCCAAGGAGAGATAATAAGTACTGGACTGAATTTAAAGCAAGCAGTATTTTGACTTGGGGAGGTTTACGCATTTGGATCTAAAACATCAATAAGCCAAATTGGAATTCAGTATTTGTGCAAACTAAGAATAGCAGAGAGCCTAAATAATTTACTCATATTCTACATTAGGAACTCTGTCCCAAAAATCTGTTCAGAAAAAAAAGTATTTTATAATTATCTCTTCTGCTACCCCTGTAATAAATGCTTAATTTAAGAGCTAAGCTGCTATATTAAGTTGTAAATTAATCTGATTGTGATTTAATAGCAAGTGGTTTAATAACACATTTGCCTCAACAACACACCAGTAAGGATGGAAAGTGTGTGACTTACATACACCTCTGCTAAGAGAAATTCATTGGCTTTTTAACAGATTAGATTTTGATAGAAGTCAATTTCTCTAATGTGTAAATGTCAAAATTTGATGTCTGATCTTGTTATTACTATTAGCAAGGGGCCAAGTGCATTTTTTCTTCCAACCTAAAGAAGAAAAATTACCTCTGTGGTTTGTAGAGTACAGTATTTCATCATTTCCATATATATATATATATATATACCTATATATGTATAATTCAAGCCCAGATTGAGTAAGCTCACTGGATTTTGAGTTTTCTAAAGTGTGTTCTTAATTTTAAATAATATAAGTGCTATTCTCATTATTCATTTCTATCACAGGACATAGCTTCTGGGCATTCCTAATAATTATTCTGTCTTTCTTGATAAATGAGTTAGTTTTAACTGTGTACCATTTTATCACTTATTTTCTCTTTGTGGATTTTTCTGAAATGACACTTTCCTGGTGGTTCTATTAGGTTAGCAGAACTGTCTGTAGCATATGCTTTTGCTGCACACGTCAAGGAATGTTCTGGAAGATGAGCAGTCTTCATTCTAGCCCTCATTCCTCAGCAGGGCAATAAATGAGGCGCAACTCTCTCACCTGCTGTTATTTCCTGTATGTGAAGTTTTATTCACTGCTCTATCCAGAGCAAATGTATACTGTATCATTATTTATATTTACATTGCAGTTTGTATCATTATAACTAGATTGCAAATTGCTTTACTTTAACTGAAATGGGGCCTTAATTAAGAATAGTACATAACTTAATTTTCCAATAGGGAAAGATTATCCTGTGTGAAGAATTTAATATATATATTTTAACAAAAGGCAGTAGTAGCACCTTTACTAGGACTCTTAATACTTCAGTCTTATAAAATGCTTAAATATTAAACTATAGTTGGTTAGTTTTAATAGACACAAACTCTGAAAGACAGTCTAATTAAGTAAGGTATTTAAAAATACTTTCCATATATCTTCTTGTGTTTTTACTTGACAGTTGAAATACAAACTTCTCAATCATTAAATTTACTAACCATTTTTAACATATCTGATTTCAGATTTGAAAGAATTACAGAATACAGTTCCGTGCCTTAACATCATAAGAATAATGTAAAAAATAGCTAGGAACAAATTTTCTGAACACGAGCAGATGAAAGTTATTGAGCATACTTGCCAATATTCTAAGAGGCGAACAGCCCGTGGCCACCCCGCACAGTGTCCGCAGCTGGGATGCACCCCAAGCAGCAAACCCGAGCTGCATCTCGGGTAGTTTTCTCTTTATTACCTGTGTTATGGATCCGTTAAATTCAAAGTTGTACAAACTCTAGAAAAGTAAAACAAGTTACAGTCTTACCAGGTATTTTAAGCTAAGCGGTTTTATGTTTTTATGCTTTCTGATTGGATGATTTACTATATTAGGTTTCTCTCTTCTATCTATTTTAATTTACTTAGCCATTTCAATTCTTCTGGAAAAGGAATAACCATACTTTAAGGTTTTAATACTGATATGCATAGTTACTAATATT